TGTATTATGATTAATGATAGCAAAAAATAAACTACTTCTTCATATGTGTAAAAAATTAAGAACTATTTCAGTTGTGCTTTTAGTTTCATTTTGTCGAAATATATTTGAATTTTGAACAATTATTGTAATTCAAACGATATATGCATCAACTGTTTAGTTATAAGTAATATTTTTTACCGCAACTGCGCTCTTTTTTATATTTCAATGTTGGATTTTAGAAAATTTTCCCCATATAACCCAAGAAGCTAGAATCACAGTTAGAATTAGTAAGGGATGACTACAACTCACACAACTTGATATTACGACCCATAGTAAGATGCAATGTTCATTCATAAATAAAAGACTCTAGGTAGCATCGGTTAAGATAAAGTGAGGGGTTAAATATTATCGAATAGCTGTGTGGTTACAACCACTTGTGGGAAAAGAATTCGTTGCCATGTAGATGTGAATAATCGAGCAGCGATTTTCAATCGAATTTTTTTCATACTCTATTTTATCTTGAAAATAGTAAAAAGGTACTTTAAAATAACGAAAGCGATAACTTCTTCATTTTTGAGGTTCTCAACGAATTCATTAAAAACTTGATATCTCCATTCGTTACTTTAAAGTATCTTTTTGCTATTATAAAGATAAAATAAAGCATGAAAAAGATTTTGATTGAAAATCGCTGCTTGATTATTCACATCTGCATTGTAGCGAATTCTTTTTCCACAAGTGGATGTAACCACACAGCTATTTGATAATCTTTAACTTCTAATTTTATATAAATCGATGCTACCTAGATTCTCTTATTCATGAATGAACTTTTGCATCTTACAATTGCTCATAGTATCAAGTTGTGTGAGTTGTAGTCATTCATCTATAGTTTCAATTCGTTGAATCAAGCAATACGATAAACTGATCATATAGCAAATGCATCAGAATGCTTTTGAGATGAATGGATGGTACACCATCAAAAATGTTCGAAATTTCGAGTTATAACGTGTTTATTTGAAAAACGCGTTAAAATGTTTTCGAAAAACTATTGTAACAAGGTTGATGTATGAAAAAAAGGCACTTGTAATAAGTGATTTTCTGGACATTTTTGTTTGTCCACAACAAGTCAAATATCAGAAAAGTAGCAATCGCTGTAACGCGTCAATTTCACTTTTCTGACTACACGGACACTGTCAAATGTCATTAATAAGAGGTTCAACTCATACCCACTCAATTTCAAGAAGTCAAAATGAAAGAAAAATTTTATTTAAAATGCAATATTATAAATGAGCAAAAGCATTTTCTATTATGATAATAGTTTAAGTTGTACGTGAATAGAAGACACTGTCAGAGTACATAATTGGGAGACAGATAAAATGGCAATTTAGAAGTGTTAACATTTACCACTGTTTTGGTGAAATGTACATCATTGTGAATTAAACTCGTTCATATTTCAATACTTCATGATTATTGGAACTAGCAACATACAAATTAAGTTGTGAGTCGAATGCAATACCACTTGGATCGTCGAAGGTAGGTGTACTGTTTGTATTACGTCCAACTACCAGGAAGCCGGTCGTTGAATTGGCACAAAATACTACCACTCTTTGCCTGAGCGAATCAGCAACATATAAATTGCCATACGGGTCTATCTTAATCTGTCTTGGCGTACTCAGCTTAAGTGCATAAGCTGTAGAAAATGTTTCATTGGCGACACCTGCTCCAAATGTCCATAACTGGACGCGATCTTTGGCTGGATCACTCAGATATACTTGATTCCCAGAGGTGTTGACCAATATGAGATCATATGGATTGCTAAGCTCACCACTAGCTGTTCCGCCACTTCTACCATTAATTAGAATAGTGCTATTTGTTGCATTAAATGGCCAAAACACAAGTCGATTATTGCCGTTTTCAGTAATGAACATATTCAATTCGTCATCGACAATAATGGCCGTGGGTTGATTGAGATTAGTAGTTGCAACATTGGGGCTACCTGTACCAGCAACAGTCGTGCCGTTCGATGAGTTGGGTGCATAACGCTGCACACGATGGTTATCATAGTCAGCAACATACATGTATCCATATTTATCAAACGTAATTCCCGTCGGATGGTCAAGCTGAAACGAATTACTACCAGCATTGCCATTACTGTTGCCTGTCACTGTTGTACCATTCGAAGCTCCTATAATCCACTTTTGAATACGATTATTGTTGTAATCACAAATGTATAAAATATCGTTTGCATCAATGTATAAACATCGAGGTTGACGCAGTTGAGCAGGGGTATCCCCAGCTACTCCAGTGCCTGCGATTCGTATACCAGTTAGGTTCCAACGAAGAGTGCCGCCTGAAGCATTGTTAAATATGACAATAATAGACTATTTCATAGATGTGATGCAAGTTTTTTTCAATTTATGGTACACTCATTCTCTCTTAATGCTCAATGCTGTACAAAGCTGCTTTTCTATCATGAAACAACAAAACATTGACCAATAAATGTAAGTCAATAGATATCAAAATGATTAGCAGATTCATTGCATGAATTCTTCTAAAATTAATTTCAATGGTATATATTTAAGTGGGTTATACTTTTTTCATTTACAAATGTATCTTTGATCACTAATGTCTCTTGTGAAAGCTTTCCATTCAACTCAAGCGTGGATATTATTTCGAAAAAGCTAATTGACACACTCCAGAATAACATTCATGATCAAAACTCAGGTCAACAATAACATATTGTTTAGAACTTTGTCATTAATATCGAACAACTCTATTTGAACAATGCTTAGCCGAAACGATTAATGAAATCGAATTTAATCTTTCACATTGCATCTGTAACTTTGGATTAGAAGTACAGTGGATATCAAATTTAAAAAAGCAAAAAACTATCAGTCAATCATTGATGATTCAAAAAGATATTCCTTTCTCATTTTGACTTATATTTAACATGATGACTGTTGAATGTATATTTCTTGTGAAAATGGAATGGTAAAGTATCAACAAAAAAGAAATGAAATCATTAAAATATGATGCAATCGATATTACATTTAATCTCAGCGAGATTGTATCAGTCTATTGCTCGATCAGAGAGAGAGCAATACTTCAATATGATTTATGTCTTGACCGTGTTTCTCAAATGTTTTCAAATGACAAAGAAGCGACGAGTCTGGTAGAAACTCGCATTTTCGTGAGAGTAAGTCTTTCTCAAAGCGTCAATTATAATATTTCATTTGATCTATAGAGGCAGTATTTAGTAAAGATGACAATCAAATAGTTTTTATGTGTCTGATTGAATATCTAACCATTCTTAATAGGGAGTATGTCATTTCTTTTCTTATGAAGTTTTATCAATAAAATAGAATGAAATCTAGTCGCGGACTGTAGTTTATTATAATATACAGTTTAAGGGGCACTCAAAATCAACATGGTTTGTTTGTTAATGTGTTAGCATCATATGAATCATACCGAAATGTAAACAGGACATTTTTCTGTCAGAAACTCAAATAGTGCAAAACAAAGCCTCTAGTACATTTTCAAACATGACTGTGATAGCATTCGAATGGCTAGTATTTCACGTAATAGGCACACGAAACTCACATGAATCGATAGTCGTTGTGGTCGTTGTTGCTAAATTTCGATTAAAACAAAGAGATAATTAAATGAATTTATGATCTGATAGCAATACTTGTCGAAGTGGTTGTCGTTGTTGTGGATGTTGTAACTTAATTAAAAATATTTATAAAAATATGTGAAGTACAAGTAAATAGAAAGTTTCTTAACAGCTAAGTGGCAAATAATTATTAATATTATGAGCTGTGAAACAAAAAGAGAATAAGTATAAGTTAGACGATGCGTTCGATAGCGCTTTCTTTCATAGAATATCGTCTTCTTTAAAATAATAAGAATATTGCTACTGGCTTTTGATATTTTACGAATAATTTGAGAAAAATGAGCTGACAAGCTGATCTTTTCGATAATTGATATAGGGCACTGATTAATGTCAGTCAGTCCAAGTTCGTTGTGATATCGGTTCAAGTACGAAGGATATCTATAAGTTTGACCTAAATTCACCTTTAGATCACAGTTTACTATCTTTGCACAGATGAGCAAAGATTAAACTTAACGGAAAAGTCTTGATCAAGTCCTATACGATTTGATTCGATCACGACTCGATTTATTTTTGAAAATAAGATAGTGAATGTCTTTCTATTTTCTTTTGAGAAATTTTCATCTTCGATTTTTTTTGGCAATGACAAAAAAAATGAAGGAACTGCTTTGGCACACAAGCCTACCTGTTGTCGTACTCGATGTTGAGGACGTTGAAGTCGATGTGCTTGATGTTGTTGTTGATGATGATGTAGTTGTTGAACTCAGTGTAGTCGCTGATGTTGTTGTGGCCGTAGCTGAATTACGGAACAAAGATGATCACTGCAGCCTATCACTCATGTACTACTCACTTATTGTTGTGGTAATTGCTAACGTTGTTGCTAATGCTTTTATTAACCACAAGAATATTTGTTTTTTAACAAAAATTCGAATGATACTTACAAGTGCTAGAAAACATGCTTTGTGTCGTTGCTGTCGACATCACTAAATAGAATTATAAATTAATACGAACACACGGTCAACTAATTTAGAACTGCAGTAAACTCGTCGCTTGTATGCTGAATTTTCTTGAGAATATGTCAGATTAGTTTCAACTGAACGCAATAAAGCTATATACTACATCTAGAATATCCAATCGACTACGCTTATAACCGAGCACCATTGTATTCATTTTTAATTTTAGTTCGATCTATTCGTATTGTATCGAAATTTTCGAAAGATTAGATTCGATCTACAACGTTACAGTGCGGAAAGTCATATCAATTTGATTTATAAACTGCAGATTGCATTAAAAAATAAAATAATCATTCTAAGTCGATCCAGCCGTCGGATCAATTCTATTTTGGAAAAAAAACAACAAGATCAACTAGCTGAAATCGAATCAATGATTTTACACCCATAATAGTTTCACAATAGCTA